CTTTACTGAGAATTCAGACTTGGTCATTGATTAGTAATTTTTGCATTTCTGGTGGAAATCTCTTTGGCATCTGGTAGAACTTCAGACCTCATCACCCCTTTCGCCACTCAAACCTCCCAAATTTTACCAGTTCCTTCAAAGTCTCTAGCAAAGTGTGTTCATTTTTACTTGACATTGTATTTTGCATTTCCATCACTCTATTACAAACAACTTGAAATTGTTAGTATTTGCTTCTTTTACTTATGTATTATTTAAATTGTTATTATTTAAAGATATATAAAAAATTGCATAGACCATAAATGTACTATTTAATACAAAATTATAAAGCAAGTACCTGTGTAACTACCACTTAAGTCAAGAGGTAGAATATTGTCAGTGTTCCAGGAGCTCTTATGCATCTCTTCCTAATTCTTAATTCCTACCCTCAGCCCTAACCACTTTCCTGACTTCTGTTATAATTTTCTTGCTTTACTTTCATACTTCTATATGCATCTCTAAACAAAATAGTTTAGTTGAACTTGTTTTTGAAATTCGTATAAAGGAAATCATTCCATGTATATTGTTTTGTGCCTTCTTTCCCTCAATAACATGGCACTGAGAATTGTCCAGTGTGTTGGATGATACTACCATTCATTTTCATTTTGTATAGTGTTCTTTTGTACGAATGGAGCACCATTCATTTTTTTTCAGTTTAAAATGCTATCTGTTTATTCTTTTTTTTATATATATATTTATTTATTTGGTTGTGCCGGGTCTTAGTTGGGGCATGTGTGTTCCTTAGTTGTGGCCTGCGAACTCTTAGTTGCAACATGCATGTGGGATCTAGTTCCCTGACCAGGGAACCCCTGCATTGGGAGTGCAGAGTCTTAACCACTGCACCACCAGGGAAGTCCCTATTCGTTTATTCTTTTTTTAAAAAATTTTTTTAATGGAAGTATGGTTGATTTATAATGTGTTAATTTCTGCTGTATAGCAAAGTGACTCAGTTACAGATATATACATTCTTTTTCATATTCTTTTCCATTATGGCTTATCATAGGATATTGAATATAGTTCTCTGTGCTGTACATTAGGACCTTGTTGTTTATCCATTCTATATGTAATAGTTTGCATCTACTAACCCCAAACTCCCAGTTCATCCCTCTCCCACCCCCCACCCCCTTGGCAACCACAGTCTATTCTCTGTGTCCATGATTCTGTTTCTGTTTCATAGGTAAGTTCATTTGTGTCATATGTTAGATTCCACATATAAATGATATCATATGGTATTTGTCTTGCTCTTTTTTTTTAAAAAAATTAGTTATTTATTTATGGCTGTGTTGGGTCTTCGTTTCTGTGCGAGGGCTTTCTCTAGTTGCGGCGAGCGGGGGCCACTCTTCATCGTGGTATGCGGACCTCTCACTGTCGTGGCCTTCTCTTGTTGCGGAGCACAGGCTCCAGATGCGCAGGCTCAGTAGCTGTGGAGCATGGGCTTAGTTGCTCTGCGGCATGTGGGATCTTCTCAGACCAGGGCTCGAACCCTGTCCCCTGCATTGGCAGGCAGATTCTCAACCACTGTGCCACCAGGGAAGCCCCTGTCTTGCTCTTTCTGACTTCACTTAGCATAATAATCTTTAGTTGCATCCATGTTGTTGCAGATGGCATTATTTTGTTCTTTTTTATGGCTGAGTAGTATTCCATTGTATATATATACCACATCTACTTTATCCATTCATTTGTTGATGGACATTTAGGCTGTTTCCAAGTGTTGGCTATTGTAAATAGTGCTGCTGTGAACATAGGGGTGCATGTATCTTTTTGAATTATAGTTTTGTCTGGGTATATGCCCAGGAGTGGGATTGCTGGATCATATGGTAATTGTATTTTTAGTTTTCTGAGGACCCTCCATACTGTTTTCCATAGCGGCTGTACCAGTTTACATTCCCACCCACAGTATAGGAGGGTTCCCTTTTCTCCACACCCTCTCCAGCATTTGTTCTTTGTAAACTTTTTAGTTCTTTGTAGACCATTCTGACCGGTGTGAGGTGGTACCTCATTGTAGTTTTGATTTGCATTTCTCTAATAATGAGCGATGTTGAGCATCTTTTCATGTGCTTATTGACCACCTGTATTTCTTCTTTGGAGAAATGTCTCTTTAGGTCTTCTGCCCATTTTTCAATTGGGTTGCTTGATTTTTTTTTCGTTGTTGAGTTGTATGAGCTGTTTGTATATTTTGGCAATTAAGCCCTTGTGGGTTGCAGTGTTTGCAAATATTTTCTCCCATTCCGTAGATTGTCTCAAAAAAATTTTTATTCTTTTTTTTTTTTTGAATAGACTTTTAGGCTGTTTCCTAAAAATTTACAGCTATTACAAATTAATTATTTTTACTACTTCATTCTGCTATTAGCTATTTTAATTTTGATAACAAATAAAAGAGCATCTTGTATCAATATAGCTCTTTATGATATATGCAGTGCCCTTATGTACATCGTAATTTAGCCCTCATTTCAGACCTGTGACATTGGCAGTGAAGCATTCCATTTTTTATAGCTAATGATAGAGCTTGTTACTTGCCCAAGTTAACATTGCTAAAAATTAGTGTAGTACTAACAACTGCCACACATCTCTTATATCAAAGTCTAAATTCTAAACATCTGATTCTGTTTCACACAAACTGAGCATGCTCAATACCTCAACTGAGTTAAAGCATTCCACGTTAAAAAAAAAAAAGGGAAGAAATTGTTTGTCTTAAAAGGTATGCCTCATTGCCTTGTTTTTCAAATCATGGCTTTATTGTTGTTTCTTTGGAAGTTGACCTAAACAGTTTTATTAATTTGTGGGTACGATGTTGGGACATAAATTTTTCATATTGTCAGCAGCGAAACTGTTCCCACAAGTATAAAGCTTATATCTGTAGCATTTGTAGGTGTGGAAAGTGAGGAGGTGGGGAGGGGACGGAGGAGGTTATATTTTTGACCAGAGAATACTACTACACTTTTTTACTCATGCCAATCTCTTTAAAAGTCAAGAGACTGAACTTTTAATGCAGGGAATCTCTGCCAGTCACTAAGTGGCCTGACAGTTCACTTAAGCTTTTCTAAAATCTTATGTCTAATGAAACTATGAGTTCGTGAAATACTCTCTGGTGCTGTAGCCCAGTTTGACCCTTCATTTATGTGTGGAATGTGCTGAGCTGCGTTTAGAGCCAAGTTTAGTTGTTGATGTTGTTGCAAAGTGACTCTTCTTTTGTTATCTTAAGATTTTTTTTTTTAAAGTAAGGTTTTCAAAATGGACATGATTTAAGCAACTTTGAGCTCAAGAAGTGAAAGTACCTGTTAATATATTTATTATTAGTGGTAATGTTGAAATTTTTTGTGACAGATTCAGTACTTCTCTACAAGGTGTTTATGTATAAATGTGTTTTAAGTATATATACATTTGAAAAAAATTCTAAAAAGGAATTTTGTTTAGAAAAGCAAGAAAATGGAAAAAGTGTATTGGTATGATATTCCAAGGCATGTTTGAAACATTTTTAGATTTATATGTTTACTTAACAAATAAAAACCTGTGGAGTTGCAAACATCCCCTTGGTTTGAAAATGTATTTCATCATATCTGTTATCTAGGTCATTATTCTTAAGTATCCTTTCTGTCTAATCTCCAAAAATAGAAGCACAAATTATTGTACTTTAAACAGTCACTCTTCAACTAAATATTAAGAAAGAGGAAATATTGTGAATGTCATTTTCAAAGTAGTACATGGGAATGGGAAAATGTATATTTTGAAATTTGCAAAATAAGGAACAGCTTTACTCTAAATAGGAAGGAAATCTGAATTTGCAAAAATGTTGATTGTAAATACGGAAGTCATCTATTACTTTTAAGTGTTAAACAAAAGGAATGTATACTCAGTTAAAAATAGAAGAAAATAAAACACCTTACAATGTAAAATTAGTATTTGAAGGTGGTTTCTGGCAAAGGTAAATTACAAATAAAAAGGAAATTGTGTAGTTCTATATGTAGATGAGAAAATATGATGGAATAAATCAAATAATAGATTTTAAAACCTCAGATTTCAAATCCAGTAGATTTGAAACAGAGTAATTCATGTTTGTATGTGCTACATCAGCAGTGATGAGCATAAGGAATTTTCAGTTTCAAACAAAGGCATATTTGTTTTCATAAAATTGGTTAAAAGAGATTTCACAATGATATTTTAATGGCCATGGTCTTTGATTCAGGGAGGAATTAAGCTTGTTAAGTAAATAGCCCTGAAATAATATTCATGATGTTGTGAATTTAACCCTTTGCCCTTACATTCTCGCTAAGGAAGTAAATGAAACATACAATTCTTTTGAGCTTATAAACCTTCATAGTATTTACCCACTTTATTGGACAGAGCCAATTGCAAGACTGCTACTTCTTTGTTTAGGAGTTTGGGTCACATAAGGAAATGTTCACCTCTCCTTGAAAATAAGCATTCCAGGTTCTGAATTTTACTGTGGCAAGAATGTACATTTTCTTCCTTCTTATCTTTCTCTTTGAACATATGTTTAGATCTTAACATGTCATTGTCCTCTAGTATGTTGGAGGACATGTCCTCTGGACTGTGTAGAATAAGGGTCCTAAATTCATGCCTTATTACCCATATTTGTGACATTGAACATATATGCATTAATCTTCATTGAAGATCTTCTATACAAATATAAAAATAACTGTCATTTATGTCTTACAAGGTTTAGAGTCATGGCTTTGGGGAAAGCTTTTACAGTCATAAAATAGAATGCTCTATGAAGGCAAGGATTACTCTCTCGTTTCAACTGCTATATTCCTAATACCTGACACTGAGAAAGTACTCAAATATTTTTTTATTGAATGAATATCAATTTATTAAAATCTTGATTTTTTTCAGTGTTTACTTTTTGGGGAAATAGTCTTAATTTTATCACAGATTTAAGAAATAAAAGCTTCTAAGGGTAAGATAAGTAAAGTAACTTCTTTTCTTTTCTTCTTTTTTTCTAGACTACCTGTTAAGGTCCTGAGTCAAGACAACAATTTTTATACCTTTCCTGGTGGTTCAGAAACGAGTCCCTGTAGAATCAAAAGCAAAGAAAGGAAACAATCTGACCTTTTGTTTGTTAGATTGACTATATAAGATACTTGACTTCCAGGAACAAAAACACAGAGAAGTAATAAAGTTATTATTTTGGCATCTTTGGACATCTATCATATTGAGAAGCCTGCTTTGTGAAGCTTCCTGAATTGAGATTTGGAAACTTCATTGGTGCTCATTTATAACTTGGACTGTAAGCATGAGTGAATTCTGGTTGTGTTTCAACTGCTGTATTGCAGAACAGCCTCAACCTGTAAGTATGAAGTAATACATGTACAGATTGGGTGGGGTGCTTATTAAACATAATGCTGGTTCTCAAGTTGAGAATTAGGACCCCAGCAATGATTGCAGGGCAGTTCTAAGGCCTGTCAGTGGAATTCTGAACATCTGGTTAAAGAAAGGAGAAAAAAAAAAGTAAATGTGTTTTGAGTAAATGCCATGTGTGAGGAACTGTGCTAGATCATTGTATATGATTGAGAAGGTTACGCTCTTCTACCAAGTAGACCAGCTTCTGGAGGAGCCATGAGAGGAAAGGGAGACAATCTGAGATAGAACAGCCAAGTCGGCTTTGTAAATCAGTGGTGGAAGATGTCATAGCTAGGTTGCCTCACATCCTTCTTGATTTACCATCTCATTTTCCTCACAGCAGCTCTCTGAGGAAGATACCATTATCCTTATTTTTCAGTTGAAATAGGTTCAGTTTTTTGCGCAAAGTCATATGGATAGTAAGTAGTCTTGGCTGACTTCTTCTTGGTACCTGCCCCACTTTTATCCCTTCTAACCTGTGCACATTTTATTACCTCTACGGAAATTCTGCCATCCACGTCCAATTTTCTCTTCATCCTTTAAGATGCCTAGATCTAATGTCAACGCTATGAAATCTTTGCCAGCTTTCCCCTGACTTAGATAATACCTCGTGTATTTCCACCAGCTCTTTTAGTTCATTTTTCTATGGTAGGATGGAACTTCTTGCATAGTAACTTAACTGTTCTGTAGTGTTTCCCACCATGTCAGCTGTTTACAGGACTGTAGTGAATTCTTTACCTACTTACTGTTGTGCATTGGCATGCTGGTGGACATTTTTCCCCCCAGCTTTATTGAGTTATAATTGGTATACCAAAAAATTGCACATAATTAATGTATACAAACTGGTGAGTTTGGACATACATATACACTCGTTGTCATCACCACAATTAAGGTAATAATCTTCTAAGGTATCCTCAAAAACAATGCATATTGATTTACAACCTCCCCCTTTTCTAGTCATATTACATACTTTCCCCATATAGTGTTTCCCCACATGGTACTGATGTTTTGTAATGCTCTTTGTCTCTGAAATGTGTTATTTTAATTAGACACCTATGCCCAGTTGTCATGTATTAATACTCTGGTATTTCCACAGTGAGCCAGGTACTGATGAAATAACAGAGAGCAAAACAGTTTCTGCTTCGTGGCTCTCATTCTAGTGGAGGAGATATTTAGTGAATAAATAGGTGTCTGTGATACCAGGTGATGGTAACTGCTCTAAGGAAAAAGAAAGTAGAAAAAAGAGGAGGAGAAATGGGGATATTAAGAGTGTACAGGAAACGCCTCTCTGATGAAGTGATATTTAAGCTAAGGTTTAAGGCAGTAAGGCACATGCTTATGTAGAAGGACTTGCGAGTACAAGAGTTCTGGAAGTGCAAGGGTTGTATGTGTACCAGGAATGTCAAAGAGGGCAGAGTGGCTGTGAGCCAGGGCTGCAGTGGTGGGAAGTGAGGTCAGAGATAGTTAAGGGCCGGGTCATGTATGGCCTTCCAGGCTGGGGAGAGACTGATTTTTACACTTTGTGAAATAGGAAATCATTGAATGGTTTTGTTCTTTCAAGTGAAGAACATATCCGTTTCTCAGTAGTTTGAATGTTTAATATTACTGTATGCCCAGATGGAGAGTTAGCACTGCCTGACCAGACTGCATCCTGTAGGCCAGTGAGTTACCTTCTCCTTCCTGTACTCCCAGCCAGTGAGTCCTCCTCAGCAGTCTGCAATCATGTGTGTAGTGTGTTCTGCAATAAGATTCATTTCCTACAGTGACTTTTCTTCATTTTTGTTGTTGTTCTGATGTGCAGTTCTAATCCATAATAGTAGGGGTGTGTGTCTTTAAGTGATGATGTGGTAACTGCCATATAAAAAAAACAAAGGAAGGGCACTGCGCTCCATATTTTAGAGAGTCTAAGGTTTCTTCGAGGGAAATGGGGGAAGAATTGGAAGGGGATGGAATGGGTCAGTAGACAGGGGTTGCTAGAAGACCTTAGACCTTAGACATGAAAAGCATGAAAGCTGTTACTGCAGCCTGAGAGTATGAACCAACAGTTCTATGAAAGGTGGCTAGAGGAAACTCTAGGTGAGGGCATTCTATAATTTCAGGGGATTTATGTCAAACAAGAGTGTTTGCTCAAGTGTGGTGCGTTTCCACCAGTACTATGCGATAAGGACCTCAGATGGCATAGATTCATGTAGAACTTCCTTTTTTAGGAATCACATTTCCACACACCCTAAATGAGGTGTGAGTATGATAGATACGTTGTCATTTTTCCTTTTTCTGGAAACGTAAATGTGCATGCTCTTGATTTGTTTAATTACACAGAAAATCACATTATGTAACCACAATCATCTCAAAACATTTAGTAGATGAATTTATGTAATAGAAATGGGAAATTACACTTACCAGTGGAAAAATGAAAAATATCCCTACTTTGTAGAAAGGCAGTGTAGAGGACTGATTCAAATGTCTTAACTGTATTGCTAAACCTAGAAATTACCAAGATTATCTTATTCACTGGAACTGCCTGTCCTACCTCAGGAGTGGCTACTGGATTTCTTCATAGAGACAATAAGCTGCTTATACCTGAGGAGAAAGTTTCAATTTGTATACATGAGCTTGAAGACAAACTAGAAAGGCTCTTGGCATAAGGATTTTGGTGTTCCTACCCTGTTTTGTGCTGATAGCACAGTCGGGAAGTGCTGGTAAGTTAGTGTCCATAGCATTCTGGATGAGTTCAAGCTGGGAGAGGGGGTGAGATGGTAGTAGAAAGTCATTTATCTTCAGAAACTAGAATGCTTTTGTAAGTTTGTAAATGTCAGAGAGGAAATGGTTTTCTTTAATGCTTTTATTAAATTGATCTTTATTCAGTTTAGATTGGAGTTTTTTAATATATACGTCAAAGTAAAACAAGCTATTTCTTAGCAAGCCATGTGGTGGCTGCCATTTATAGTTACTTAAAAAGTGACATCAGCAAAAATAATAATTCAAAAGTAGACAGTTGTATACTGAACCTCATACACTCAGCTTCAACAATATCAGTTCTTATCTGATGTTGTTCATCTCAGTGCATCTACTTTGCTCTTTTCTGTATTATTTTGAAGCCAAATTCCAAGCATTATTTCACTTTATACATAAATATGGCAGTATTTATCTCTGAGATGATTCATATTTAACATAACCACAATACCATTATCATACCAAAAAAAGTACTTTAAAAGTTTGTTTTATATATAAATATATAATAATAAATAGTTATGAAACACATTATGAAGCACATATTACCCAAGTTAAGACATGGAGCATTGCCAACGCCCCAGAAGCCCCCTAGCGTTCTTTTCATTTACATCCCTGCTCCAACACCTGGAGGAGCCACTGCCCTGCTTTTTTTTTATGGTGATCACTTCCTTATTGTGTTTTATGATTTTACCATTTGTATATGCCCTGAGCAGTATAGGTTAATTTACCTGTTTTAACTTTGAGTGGAATTCCAGTGGATATAATTGTGTTTTCTTCTTTAATTCATTGCTAAATTTATAAGATTAATCTGTATTGAAGCAGGTAACTGAACTTCATTTCCACTTTTCTTGAACGTTTTGTTGTATGACTACACCATGTACATCCATATAGTCCTTTTGAAATTCTGAGTTGTTCACAGTATGGGACTGCTACGAATGACGCTCTTTCGTGCCTTTGTGTATGTGTTGCCCGGTGAACACGTGCTTGAGGTTCTCTAGGGTATATACCTAGGAGTGAAATTATTGGTTCTGAAGTCTAAGGACATTAGTTAGCTTTTACCATGCAAGACAACATTGTTTTAAATTTGGTGTTATCAATTTGTGTTCCTACCAGCATGATGTTTTCCGACTCAGTTTTTATCAGTCCGAGAGGAAATGTTTACCCTTGCATTATCTTGCATTTTAATTTAATGAGAGTGAAAAGTAACCTGATTTTTTTAAACTTCTAGGTTGTGAGCTTCAGGATTGTACGCAAATCAGAGATTTCTTGAAATAAAATTCTCCAATTCAGCTCCTCCACACTTTTGTTCATCAGCGCATTCCGTTTGTATTATACCATAAGACGAGTTCTTTGAGAGTACAGAAAAACACATTTAGATAAATTGAAGTCCATGAAGTTAAAGACATTATACTATAGCAGCTTTCATTCTTGTATTTAGTTTCAAGTATGATGAAGCATTAATCTAATTCAGTGCTTTTTGTTTACTCTGTTTCTAGTAACTATTACAGAAATAAATGCATTCAGAAGCCACCAGGCATCTGTGTCATCCTATACACAAAATATTAGTAGGACTTAATTTAAGAAAAGATGAAAAGTAAAAATAGAAGGTCTAGTATTTTCCTCTCACATTCCAGCAGATCATTTTGAACACCCCCCAGGTGAGCATTTCCCACATTGGAGACCATTGAATACAGAACAAGTCAGAGCATGGAGCTCTAGAGTTGAGAAACAGGATTATCTTATCTTCACTGTGATAAAAATAATTATCACTGGAAAAAAAAGGGAAAGAAATGCAGGGAAAATTGTTTTTGATGAACAGGAAGAGAAAAAGACATTGTGGTCAAATAGTTTTTAAAAATATATATTTATATGGCAGATAAGTCCTAATTTAATTTTTTTCTATATGCTCATTAGAAAATACTATCTATATCTTCATAAAGAAAATGTTCTTTATTTATTTATGAGGTCATGTGTTAAGTAGCCAGTGTGAGCTCCTATTAACTGACAGCTTACATGAATCCTGAAACATTTCTTAAAAGAGCTATTGTTTTCAAGTCATCTCACCTACGCATCTGGGAGATTGTCATGTTTATTTAGAAAACACTTTCTTCATTTACATGTTCTGTTATTTGTGTAAATGATGTGAAAGTCTGCATCTTTTCATAAGGCATTGAATTCTTAAAATGGCTAAAATTAAGGTGCTTCTGAAATACC